GAATATGACAGGAAACTCAGGAAGAACTTGGGACTTGAGTGAAATTGCATACCCTGTTTATGACAAGAAGCTCGAAAAACCATACCCTGTTCAGCGGATCATCCCTGTATAGTCTATATATGGGAGTAGGGAGTACCCCCCGGGGTTAAAGTGTGCTATGACCACCAAAAGTTCCAGCCATTTCGAGCTAATTTTCACATAGATATTCTGTATTTGATGATTTAACTTTTTACGATGATTCTGGATTGACGTCATTATTTTGTGATTTCTACACTGAATACACGTATTTTGGCAACCAAAAGAGATATCATAAAGAAAGTAAAGGCCTTATTTTAATTTTTTTTAATAAGGGCTTTCAAATCAGGAAGAGATTCACTTGATAGGCACTTAAAATAACATCCAAACAAATTTAATAAAATTTTTCTGGAATTTTTTTCATTAAGTACTTTCTCAAATAGCATTGATAGTTTCTGGTAAAAAGGCCTTATTTTCTCTATCAATTAAAACGATATTGATAATGGGAGGCCTTATATAGCGCATTTCACATTGTCTCAAAGACCTTTGCATCTGCGTTCAGTGGAGGATGCAGTGAAGCAGCCGTGCATCTTACAATCATGAGTGAATTGTTAGTGCATTTAAGTGTTATGCCTCCAAATTGGGATAGGCTGTTGAACCGRGAGACAATCACCTACAGCCCTTACATRAATAATTCAATAGGATAGATCTTTTATGTCCCTCATTTTACTGCAGGTTAGGAAGGGTTGAGAGACAGGGCAGGTTACGYTTTAAAGCCCTTATCTTAGAAGACTTGAAGGTCTAACCATTTGCAGATGTAATTACAAAGGCAGTACCTTCTCAGTTATTCTAAGACCCTGAGTGTTGTTCCGGCCAAGGCTTGAACCACAATGCACCACAGGCCGACGCTCTTACCAAMTGAGCTGACTGGGTGTGGTGCCAAATTTATTGTGAAAGTCAATGGGGTTCAGGAAAATATCAACCTGTTTTGTCTTTACATTAATTTTGCAACTGCATAATGTAACATAAAACAATAGCAATTTCCTTCTTTGGGAAAATGAAATTTCTTGTCAAGCAACAACATTGCAATTTTTCTGCCTGTCTACATTYTTYATGTSTYTTATATTCTAGTTAAGATTTGAMGAAGAAATRAGAGCACAGCRARAAGCCAGACTTCAACCAGAAACAAGAGTTCAGCGAGAACAGAAGGATGATCTTTTTGATTCAATTAAAAGATGTGACTTAGAGCATATAAAGACGCTGAAAACAAAGTTTTCATTTAAAAATATTAAAGATAATGTAAGTATCATACATTACTTCAATTTGGTGTGAAATACCTAAACCTTCTTTGCAATATACCTCAATCATCATGGCAAACGTTCGATATTCTGGTTGAGGAGCACGATTTATTTCAAGTTGAGGCTCTGGGGAAACAATAGGGTAATTGTAAATATTCTTTTGCTTTCCTGTAGCCTTGACTTGGATTGTTTTGTGCTTGATTGCTCGACCAGAATATCAAAAGTTGACTATTGAAGATCTTAATCCTTACTACTAAAGAGAGTGCATGGTCTAGATGAAATCCAGTACAAACATCTTTTGTTCATCACTGTTACCCTCTAATCTACAAATTTTATGAATACCTTCAAACAGCATATGGGCATATGTTCAAAGCTGTTGTCACAGCTAGGGTAAATGGTCTAATATTGGATGAGGTGGATCCAGGGGTGGTAAAATACAGTAGGTGACTAGTCACCCCCCCTTTTGCTTAAATTTCTCAGCCCCCCCTTTTATTTTTCTAATTCCTGATAAAACCTGTTTAGCATTATATGGTTACCTTGGAATATCCTGGCGGTAATTTTTTGTTTTAGTTCTGACGTTTGGATGACCTTTGGTCGTCTTCTTCAGGTTGATCTTCACAACTAATATTCACAACTAGTAGTATATAGTGAAGGACAACCTGAAGAAGATGACCAGAGGTTGTCAAACCATCCGAACTAAATTTAAAAATTACCACCAGGATATATACCCCAAGGTAACAATACACCAAACATAAAAAAAGCTTCAGAACCTGGTAAGACCTTTGTCCTACAGTCACCCCCCCTCCCCCTGAAATTCCTGGATCTTCCCTGATTGGTTATTTCATGAGAACTCTTTGTTCAAATAAACTTTGAACTCCTCCTTTTCTTGAACCATGTTCCTGGTAAAACCTTTGTCTTATTGTCACCCCCTCCCCCCTTTTTTTAAATCCCTGGATCTGCCCCTGATTGGATATTTCACAAGAACTCTTTGTTGAAATGAACTTTGAACTTATTCTTTCCTTAGCATAAAAGAACACCACTCCATGTCTTAGCAGACTCGAAACCAGAACAAAAAGGCAAGGATGGAGTTCTCAAAGAGATTTTTATGGTTTTAAAAGAAGCAGGGTGTGATGTAAATTGTGTTGATCAGGTATGGCGATGAGCTAGTTATTAGATTACAGTACTATTAAGGGTCATTATTTCCAGTCTTGTGTGGAATTTTTTACCAGTTGAATGGCAATAGAAATTTCATGCCTGACGAGTCAAATGTCCAAGTCTAAAATTTGTTCTCAGAGGGATTACCTTCACATAAGTACGTTTATTTTTATACCTTTTCATTGAATTCGGAAATCCTTGTTACCAGGCTTTTGCACTTTTAGAGATGGCGACTCGACAGAAGTGTTTTGCGAGATTTTATTCAAGCAGCATAAGCATTATTTTAATCTGAGCAGCAAAAGGAGTAATTTGTACACCACACATTAACTACTAACAAATTTTTATGTTTGCTATTATTTTTGAGAGTGAGACAATTGATGCTATCGATAGTGAAAGTCAACTATCGCAATAGTTATCAATAACACAATGTTTCCATCGATGCATYGCTATCGTGGCTTTRATATTGCYATTTATCGATATTCCTATGCATCGTTACACCCCTATATAATGTATGTCACATATTTGGATCTATCATAACACAACTTTTACAACTGCCCTGCTCCTTGCTACTCYAGCTTCATGTCAAACTTTTTTATTTTGCCTTTGAAAACAGAGCAAAGTACATATTATGTATTTATTTTTACTTTATCTCATGATAACATATATTTAAGTTTGACAAGGTTTGCTATATTTTCTCTCTGGAAATTGAAGCATAAAGTTACTATTTTTGTCGTTACCTGTAATTTTTTAGTATGGAAATACACCTGTAAAGTTGGCAGCAGAAAAAGGCTGTATACCAGTTTTAAAGTGTTTGTTGGAAGAAAAAGCTGATGTTACTTTACCAGACRAGGTATTCTGAAAGAATATAATATAATACAGGACATTTGGYGKSCTACACATACTACACTTTCATYCTATCCCTATTCATYCCATCYATCCATTTCCATCAATCSATYCATTCATCCTATSCATCTWTCTAATCCCTCCATCCATCATYCCTCCCATCCAAGCCATTCATCCTACACATGGACATCCATGAACCCCATATATTCAGCCCATATAATTCATAATATATTCATCCAATCAATCCATCCATCTCTTCATTCATCCCAACCATTCATCTTATTCACATTCATCCATCCAATATTTCAATATTTATTTTCCATTAATATGTTTTATCTAATTCATCCCTTTTTTAGCATAAAGGAGATACTCCAATTCACTGGTCAGCAAAAAATGGGAAGTATGAAGCAACAAACCTATTGATTACACATCAACGTGATTTCATTAATCCTCAAAATAAAGTAAGTGCACTCATTATAACAGTCATGTATTTCCTTAAAATTGGATTCAGGAATTTTAAAGAATTTAATCTGCAGAAACTAAAATTATTAAAATGTTTGATTTTCGATGTTRAAAAAGTGACTGTGAATGATTTTGTGGTAGATAATTATCAGTAGGTTGACGGCAGAACAAAATACAAAAAATTCTGTGTACTTGGTAGGTCACTAATGTTGTGCTGTTGGCCAACAACCTATTGACACTGATTCAGGGGTTGTAGTCTTTACTGTTACCTATTAAATGATAGATTTTTGTTACCTAACTCTTAGCTTAYTCCACCATGATTAAGGCATAGTTTATGCAATTTAATATATAATGATCAATGAATTTATTTTTCTTTATTGCTAAAAAGTGAAATCTTCATATGCAAAGATCTTACGTGCATCATTGACATCTTCACATGTGAAAATAACACCATTGATAGGAATTCTTAGGAATTGCATTAAATAGTAAAAATCAACTTGTAAAAATCAATAAATTGTATTTCATTAACAATTCTATAATCATTAAACAGAATAATGCATAGCCGGTTGTTGATACAGATTTTATCTTCTCGTGTTGAGAATATCTTACTTGTTCGTTGTGCTCACTTGGAAGATATCACCTCAACACTGGAAGATAAAATCTTTATCTCCCTGCAGCCATGTATTGTCCTCTATATTTGTTGCTTTTCTTTTTAAATTAGATTTTGCTATATTTATGTTTGCTATTTTTTCTTTAAAGGATAAGCAGACACCACTTCATTTAGCGGTTCAAAATGAACATACGAAAATTGTTTATCTTCTTCTCTTTCGTGGTGCTGACAGAAACCTAAAGGATAAAGTGAGTATCAAGCAATCCCTTCAGACAGCTCAATTACCCGGTATCTTGACTTTCTCAGTTAAGATTGAAAATAGCTAGGGCATTCTGTGTTAGCTAGGATGCAAACGTGTTCGAGATAAGCGGGATGTATGTGAATGGGACAAGAGTGAAAAACGTCTGCGCATGCTCTGGATCCGTATGCAAATTAGTCAAATCATGTCTAAATTTGACTTTCAAACATGCCTGATAAATTGGGCTTTACAAAATGCCAACACTAAGTGTCCATGCTTGAAACTTAAGGCTAATTCTTTCATACTGTGTTATTTAATACAGTATCGTGGTTTGACAAAAGTATACTCGCGAAATGTTTTGTATACTTGGAGAAAACAAACATTTATTTGCTCTTTCTCTCATTGACTCCGACGAAGGACTAACGTCCGAAACGTCAGTCTATTATCTTTCGTATCTACGGTGATAAAATTATCTACTACAACATTTTTTTCAACTAAAAAACACCGACGCAGTCCAAACTAGTTCCAAAACTAGTCGTTATCTATTTATTTTCTCACTCGAACTCTTCAAAATTCTAAGAAAGTATGCTGAAATGCACGCATGCGCAAACGTTTTTCTCTAGTGTCCGTGAATGGCAATTATGAGATACTGTAAATTACAAGGTTATCAGTTATTATAACTGTTGAGTGTTACCCTTGTTATAAATAAAATCTATTATCATTACCTACTTTCATCATCGTTCTTAATCTATATGTCAAGTCCATGCGATGTCTAATATATTTATGTTTCTGTAATTTTACTGTTATGTTATATCAGGACTCTATTTAAACTAGCCTGGATGTTCCTGTATTTAATATTGACTTAAATCAAAATAAAAAGTAACATAACTCTTACCTGCCCAAAATCCCATATGAGATGTAAGGCATAATGAATAAGAGATGTTCGTATCCCAGCTACACAAGAATGTATAGGGTTGTCAAACATCATGGGCGTCATGTGATTTAGCGTGCGTAGTGTCCTTAATAATCATGGGGTTGGGATTCAGAGGGGGGACAGTTCGTGCAACGAAACCTGCATACGTTTGTTGAGTACTGTTTAATATCTGGAAAGCATGGGTGACGTAGCAGTGTGAGCGCTCGCCTCTCATCAATGCGACCCGAGTTCGAGTCCCCGCCTTCGAGTCCCCGCCTTGTTCGGTGTTGTATATGAGTAGAGTTGTTTGTTGGTTCTCAAAAATCAACTCCTAAATTCCAATTCGATCATGTAACGAGGGCACAGGTTTGTTAGCCACTGGCTATTAAAAAAAAGGACTGGTTTTTTTTTGTTTTTTTGTTGTTTTTTTTTGTTGACCTGACCTATTTCCCAGTTAAACACAAGTGACAAGTGGGAATCTTATTCTTTGATTGATGAATAAGAAAGCTTTTTTTATTAAAGTTAACAATATTCATTTCCTTTTTTAAGGGACTTTTTAGATAATGGTGTTTTTATGTTTTTAGAATGATTTTACACCTTTACGTATTGCTGAAAGAGCGAATAACGAGGAAATTGTGGATTTACTGAGAAAATCTTTAGAAGAGCTTTATGAGATGGTAATAATTGTTGAATATATAAGTTATGGATATAACTATATTGTCATTATTTACATATTTACATATTGTTCTCATCTTTGCATCATAATTACCGCGATCCAACATCTATTTCACCCCGGCCTGCTCTCAGTCTGACCTCTAGCTCAGCTGGTAGAGCATCGGTAGTACAATTCCGAAGGTCGTGTGTTCGATTCCCAGCGAGGTCGGAAATCAATTTTTCCGAATTTCCCTCGTTCCCATGCACTATAAGTTATCTATATTTCTATATCTTCATGTATTTCATAAGTGCTACGCGGTCCATATATTCTCATCTTTGCGCGATAAAGTTTACATATTTACATTACAATATGTGGAATTTTGACATTTTTGGACAAACCAATTAGTAGTATAGGGGATGGGGGTATCAGCGCAGTCGATACACGGTAAATACCCGCGAGAATTCCTGCCCCGATAATCACCCGTGCGAGAACAGCGCACCCATCCTATATATAGAGTCAGAAGGATCTACGTAGTATATATGGAGTGTGAAGAATGCAAAAGGTATTTTAAGAGAGAGTCCGATCTAAAGAAGCATCTAAAGATGAAAAAGGGAAAATGTATGATCTGTTACGATTGTCCTTGCGGTAAGTCTTTCCTGACCAAGGTTAAGCTGTACTGGCATTGTCAGGATTGTAAGTATTAGTACAGCGCACAAAACCCCATTTTTTCGGCAACCATTTTCGGCAACCTTTCCCGCTGCAGAGGGTGTCAATCTGACCGACACCCCTACAGCAGCCCTAGGGAGGTAGAGGCGAATCACCTCCCCCAGCCGAATCCCATCGTTTTTTGGCGCAAGGAGGAACGAGTCGTGCCCCCGTACTGGGGCGACCGCAGGAGGCAAGGTAGCGGCGAAAAAGCGCACCCTTCTACCAGGGCGGCCACGCAGCTCCTGCAGTGCTCCGCGGTAGCTGCGCCAGGGTGGCCACGCAGCCGTAGAAGGGCCTCGATTTGAGGCACTATAGTAGCCCAAAACCTTCGCGCCCCATATATATCATGGAGCAACCAAAGAGCATTTTGGCAACTTTGCAGGAGATGGGAATACGAGCGAAGAGTAGGGTGCTAGCACACATACTTTTGGAGAATGCGTACGAAGACAATCTATTGCTGAACATAGCAAGGTGCGACTACCTTCGAGGAAATCTAGGTTCTAAGTCCTTGCAACCCTTGCTTGGTCTTCCAGCATTCGTAGACGACATATTTGTGTATGGATACTTGCTAGAGGAAGATCTATTCCAAATGGGYGGGAAACACCTGTGTAGGAATGCAAAAGGAATTGTATCTAGGATATCCACAGCTGCTACGGAAACCTTTGGAAGATTTCTACCAACAGCCATAGTGCATACGGTGCGAAAGATCGGACAAATACAGCAGACAGTTGGGGAAATAGAAAAAAGGATAAAATGGAAAACCAGAGACACATGGAAAAGCATACACCAAGAAGAATCCGCAGGTATCTTCGTAGCCAAAGTAGATACCTCCGAGATTTCCCTGGAAGACGTAGATAGAAAGGCTGGGAAGTTTGCTAGGCTTCTGGCTCCGCACGGCTATGGGATATACTCCGTAGACTACACCCAAGACTTCTCTGGAACTCTGGATAGGGATGCACTAGTAGAGCACTTGCTAGATATGGGATTCCAAAAGGAACATAGAGGAGGTCCTAGAGAAGGAACCATACTAGACAACACGCATAGCGTCGGAGAGCATGTCTGCACATGGATTTGCGATGGAGTACGAACAAAGGTATACAACAAAATAGTTTCGAATTTCGAAGCTGGAGAGGTGAAAAATCCCATGGGTGGCAAGCTTGCAGAATACGTAGATTGCCCCAACGAGCATCTGCGTAGGACATTTCTGCATCCAGATGTCCAAGAAAGAGGCTGCACTAGGATAGAAGTCTCTGTGTATGGCAGGGAGTTTTCTACAGAGCACACCAATAGAATATCCCAGACTCTAGAACTCCTAGGGGAAGTATTCGTAGTGCAGCCACCCAAAAACCTGTGGAAGAACCTCTCTTCGCATTTGGATAGATGTCTATTGGTTGCTTGTGGGGAAACAAGGGAGATCTTCCTTGCATGGTATTGCCACACAAGCACTAGGCGCATAGTAGGGGTTCGAGTGCGAGCGGGAGAAAAATGGGAAGAGTCCATACTTTGGACCATGGCAGAGTTTGGGTTCCGAAGATGCCCAATATTTCGAATAGACATAGTATCCTTGGATCCGATATGCGTCCTACCGCTACGATGCTACACCAAGGACGCCCCCACAGTGCTAGCAGAGTCTACGATGCCTACCAGGGTACATAGCAATGCCCCACGCATAGAAGATTTCCTACCTAGCACAGAGCATGTGGAGTGGGTTTGGAGAAAGAAAAAAGCGCATTCGATTGGTGTGGAAAAGAGTGCCTACGAAATCTTCGAAATACAGTCCAATAGAGAGATATCCTTTCTATCCAGGCGGAAAAGAGAAAAGCGCCTACTAGATATCGAGGACGCTTTGGATGGAGAAGGATGGATAGAGGAGACGAGGGCCTTCCACGAGGAGCTACTAGAGAGGAGAGAAAAGCTGCGAGAGAAGAGGAAAGAGGAAAGGAAAGTGGTGCGAAAAGAAATGGAGAAGCATTTGGAGATAGCAAAGGCATTCCACAAACGAGAGAATTTCCTATGCATTTTCTTCTTGGAGGGGACTGCACATAGGATAGAAAGAATTCCGCCGGGGAAGTACAGGATATTGGGATACAAAAAAACCCAGGGGCATCTGTTCTTGGTGGAGAGCTAGAGGGCATAGGGTAGCCCTATCTGGAAAGAAAAGATATGTGATATGGGCTACGGAAGAAGTGCTGGACATTGTGGATAGAGGCAACTTTCGAGACGAATGCGCAATTCCCTGAGAAGAAATATCCATAGAGCTATCGCTTCGGAGTCCTTGCAAAAGTACATGGAGTTTCGAAATAGGATTCCACCACAAAAGGCGAAACCCCAGGACCTACAAATGGTAGACCCATCACCAAACAAAGAATGCATACAAACCTTGCATATGGCAGAAGGCGAATACCAATGCTGGAGCTATGCAAAAACGGAATACCGCAAAAAGAAAAGAACAATACTCTTCCTAGAGGAAAAATGCGACCAGTGCGTATTGGAGGGTTGCGAGAAAGAACATACAACAACTCCAGTTTGGGGGCACTTCCTAGAGGAGAAGTTGGAAAAAATAGATTGGGAAGGATCTTCCCCGCCACTGTATTGCAGAATTGGTAGGGAGAAGACCACCAAATCGAAGAAGAAGGATAGGATAGCACATATCTCTATTCGATCTCCGGAATCCTAGACTTCGACTTGGTTTCCTCCTTCGGTGGCGTGTAGTAGCATACCCTAGGAGGCTCCTTTGGCTGCAGCCATGCAAGCCCGCCCACTACTAGAGCTGCAATACCCAACAGGATAGAGCTGGCCATTTGCCAGTCTATTTTTTCCGCTACGTCCTCTATTTCGTCGGACAAATCTTCCATGTCTTCCTCTGCAAGTACTTGGTCTAGCCGGGCTAGCAATTCCGCCCTCGTGCTTCGTAGTTCTTCTTTGGTCTCCCGGAGATCGTCCAACACGATAGCGAAGGACTCCTGTACCTCCTGGAAATGCTTTTGGATATCTGCAATAGACAGCTGCGGTGGAATGGCGACCTCCAAACCATTGTCCTTTTCCAGCCTGCGTATTTTGGGGATACCTACGAGGTATTTCTTAGCCGCCTTCTGCAGGCCCATGCCATTCTTGCGGTCTTCCAACATCTCGGCTATCTCGTCCTCGGACATATCTTTTGGTGTTGCCATATATATCTAGAAAGATGGTTTGGCTATAAATATAGATGTATTTGTACATAGCTACGGGCATGGTCGCATACATGCTTGGAAAGGACAGAACCATACCCATCCTCTTGGACGTATTGGAAGGCTTCTACAGAGCGCAGAACATTCGCATACCAGGCTACGTAGCCACCCTGGCGCAGCTGCCTCGGCATAGATAGGGAAGACCCTTCTACGGCACTGTTTCGGTGTAACCTTGCCTCCTGCGGGACAAGGGAGGCGACTCGCCGCCATTCTACGGCTGCAGGACGCAGCTGCCGCGGTATAGATAGGGAAACCCTGTTTCGAGGCTACCTCCGTTCCTCCCTAGGGATGCTGTAGGGGTGTCGGTCAGATTGACACCCTCTGCAGCGGGAAAGGTTGCCGAAAATGGTTGCCGAAAAAATGGGGTTTTGTGCGCTGTACTAACCGGTGGGGTAAGACACCTAACACATATTCTGAACAAACTCCTTACATTCTTCACACTCCATATATACTACTTAGATCCTTCTCACCTAATATATAGTGGATGGGTGCGTTGTTATGGCGCGGGTAATCATCGTATCGACTGCGCTGATACCCCCATCCCCTATACTACTCCAATTGCATACCTAGATTCAAAGCCAACTGGACTTGATTGTTTGTTTACTCAATCAATCAATCAATCAATCAATCTTAATACCAAATTTGCAAAATTACATTTACTAAAACTACAAGAATACAGAAAATTGGTACAAGCCAGCTGTAACAGCTGGCAAATTGTAAGATTACATTATATTTTTTGGTCAATAGAAATATATATAAGTCAAAAAGAAGAGGAAAAGAAAGAAAAGGGACAAAAAGTGGCCTAATATATGTGTCGATGTATAATATTTCTATTTACAAATGGTGAAACAGCAAATATTACATCTCAAAAAATGTATTAAAATATATCATTATATAACGTATTATATAGTATTATAACGTTTATCGTAGTTAAGTGTTTTATATTAAAATGTAATTCTAATTTTCCTTTCATGTGAAGCAGACTAAAGTTGGCCAAGGGGAGCATGTCGAACCTGACTCAGGTAGGTGTATCACTTGTCTTGCTAGATTACTAAATACAGGGTTCTTATTTTTCCTTACCACTTCCCTTTCACCCATTCACTTATCGAATGGACTACTTCGATGATATGGCGGCCATCTTGGTTTGCAAGGCATAATGTGGTGTCCAGGAGGCAAATAAAACTTCGTTACAGTACTGATTGACGTCGATTCAATAAACCCCTTTTACCCATAAAAGAAAGACAAACAAACGAAACTATATAATTATTTTCCTTCATTTTCGTTTGGTTTTGCCCCCWGGCAAGATGGCCGCCGTATAAAAGCCTGAATATTTGAGCTACTAAGTGTGCTAAATTCAGAAATATCTGAGTATTTTTGAAGCGATACGAGCGAGTTTTAAAAAATCACTTGCAACTATGTTGGAGTCACTTTAAATGCAGTGCAGGCAGTAGAGGCGTTATTAAATATACAAAACTTTTGTGGTACTGTAAAACACCTTGTACAAAACAACATTGTCTTACTCAAGGTTTACAGGAAGGTTATTGCTATTTAGTTTTTTCATAGTAAYCAGTGTTCAGCAGGCCCTTTGCAGCTMAGYAATCAMGTKCTGATTAATTCACTGAGAGCAAATGAATGAACATCTTGATTCCCATGGGTGAAATATACTGGAGAGCAAACAAACTTTCTACAACCTGTTTAGAGAGATCGTAATAAAACTGCATTTCGTAACACACTGGATATACATCGTTTCCTTCAGTTCTTTACAMGTACCTAAGAAGAATCATCAATTTGAAATAAAAGCAAAAATTTTGCTCTCCAGTACAGACTTGTAAGTGACCGTTAACTGCAAAGGGCCTATTCACAAAATGATGRCAAACTCAAATGCCTCCTTTGACATCACACACATTAACATATTGGAAGTATAAACATCTATCTCCAAGATGCATTACTCAAATCATATAAACATATTTTACCATTCAACTATTCACTTCACGTAGAATCAATACTGAAAATATTGAGTTAGGGGTGAGGGGCACTTTAATAGGTCCTAACCTACAAAATGTTTTTTTTTGTATACAGGCGTATGTGCAAWGGTATCTATACCGTGGACAAGACTACAAGCAGGTATAAAGTTAAAACAGTTGAATTTACTCTTGTCACGAATCACTGAGCATTTTCCACGAAGCCTCACATTGAAACCTTTGTGCGTAACAAGCGAAGCATATCTCGGAGGTGGGGACAGAGATTACCAAAGCAACATCCCTCGTTATTCCCGCTTTACAAGCAGGTACTAGTACTAGGGTAAGCCCCCCTTCAGCAGAAAAACAAAAACAAAACAAAAAAAAATGAAGAATTAGATGCTTTTTTTTATTGTTTTCCGTTGTGTTGACGGAAGAAACTCAATTGAAACTCCTTGCCGCCAGTTAGGGTCAATAGATATCTCGGCTTTACAAGGAAAAAATATAGGCAGGGTATCCCAAGCCTGGAGTAACTTTACGATAGGAATGTACTAAACAAACAAAACTTCAAATCACAAGATATTAGCGGTTTTGAAGAGAAACTTAAGACATTCTTATTTAATTCGTAAGTTA